ACCGCCGGCCCCCAGCCGAGCACCGCCGGCCCCGGCCCTCAGCCGAGCACCGCCGGCCCCTTCCTCCCTTCCTCCCTCCCTATTTTCCCAGACATGTCCGGCTTTTGGGGATTTCCTCCCGGATGAGGATTTAAGGCCCAAAAAGCCAGACATGTCCGGGAAAATCCGGACATATGGTAAAGTTAAGCAAATCTGTAAATCGTTGCAGGGCTCAGGCCTACATTAGACAATCTTCAGGAGAGATGATGATAGCCTCGCTCCAGAATTGTACTTTTCTCCACAATTACTCCCCCTGATTTCAGTATTTGTGGTATAAATTGCAGTGTGAGTAAGGCAAGAGCTGTCTGGCCCAAAATGAATTATAACAACAGACAATTGGATCCAAGGGACAGCAGCAGAGAGAGGAGAATGCAGGGCAGAAGACTTTCCTTGTATTTTCTCTTGTATTTTTCTGTATTGGCCCCAATTTATTTTGGCCAAGATGCCAGTGCAGTTAGGAACAGGAATATAGAGGCGTTCCTGCATTGAATAGAACCAAAGAGAGCCACAAAACGAAAGAGGTGAACTGTCCTGCCGTTGCATTCAGATATTTGTATCAGCTATTGAAAATTTTCTGAATTTTGATTTTTGGACCAAAAATGTCATTGCAATTTTGAATTTGGATGAACACTGGAGAAAAAAAATCCACAAAATATTTGCTGCATTTTCCCCCCCATTTCCAGTCTGCCCCAACCAGGATGAGATTGTCAGCAGTGTTGTCACATATTTGCGTATCACGGTTAGAGCTGATCAAATCATGAATATAACTATTTGAAAATAATGTAGTTGATGAATGACAGTGTAACCCACACACCTCCTGGGTGTAGTGTTCTGTCCCTTCTAGAGGCACTGAGCCCACAGAGAGAGAAAGAGAGATGATTGAGTTTGCTCTACAGCCTTAGCTAACAGCCAGTTGGTTTCAGAGGCCCCAGGTTCAATCTCGCCTGTTGTCAACTGCGGTCTGTTGGTGTTACAACAGCAAAAAAAAATAAAAAAAATCTGTCTTCAAAAAATGCATAGAGCTGTTTGATTAATGAAAACAGTTAATTTTGTTAAATACATTATTTGTTGGATAATGGGGAAACAGAGAAGATAATTAACAACTTAAATAATTTACCAAGTGTCAAGCTGGATTCTTCATCACTGGCATTTTTGAAAGATCTGCTCTAGTTCAAAAGGAATTATTCTGGGGAAGTTCTATGGCCTGTGTTATGTAGGAAGCCAGACTAAATTATCACAATTGTCCCATCTGGCCGTGGAATCTCCGAATTGTTGAACAAACTCTTCACCGTAGTCATATAATCAGCTCTAACGATGCAAACACCACCAAGATTTTGTTTAAGGTGGGTTTATTTTGATTGTGGTTTTTTGGCTCTCTGCAACTCTGCTCAGCATTAAGGGGCCGTTTAGTTCTTAAAGTCTGAGTGCTGCTGACCTGGAGTATCAAAGTTTTCAAAAAAGAGATTGTCATTCAAGGAGTCATATGCAGCATGTTTAGATTGTGGTTCTCAATGCATTAGTCAAAACAGCTCAATCAATTTTTGTGTTGAAATTCCTGTACTTCCTTGGCATTCTTAATCTATTAAGATATTATGCAAAAATGTCAAATTGCAGCATATGAATTCTTAAACACTGAAGAGTCATTTTGCAATGTTTCAAAGTTGCAGGTGGAATGGAATGAGGAATGATCCATGTGCCATGGTTACCAACATGTTTCAAAGGGCAAATCACCTTTCCTTAAACTAGACAGAGGGATTTTAAAAGTACATTTTCACAGTATCTGCAGTTGTCACTAGAATAAAGTCCTACAATTTAACAGCTGTGAATGGCCCTCAAATCTGGTGTATTAAAAGACAAAAGTGGCCTTGAGATGCTTCTGACAATCATAGCAAAAAATTCTTTGCTATGTTAACACAAGATTTTTCAGCTCTGTTCCCTACCCCAGATGTGATCGCTCTGTTCCCTACCCGTGACATTCATATCCTACGCTTTCGCTGGCTGCTGCCTGGGTTGAGACACATCCTTCAGCTAAAACCTTCCTTCTATATTTCCACAAAGATCAACCAAAACACAGTTCCATTGCTTGGGTAACCCCTGATCCAGTCACCATACATTCCCAATTGGGCAAGCTCTGATTTGTTTTATCCTCTGCTTCTGGCTCTCAACAAATAAATAAAATAAAAAATGAACAACAGCTGTAAATCACCTTGCCCTTCCATTCTCTTTTAGAAAGAGAAAACAAACAATTAAAGTGCAAGGTTCCAGAACACTATGTTAAGAAAGAAAGAATCTGATTTAGCAAATTAGTTTAGTAAAGGAAAGGCTCAATTGCCCATTCAAACTTGGGGTGCCAGATGGAATGCTGAGATTGAATGGATGGAATGCTGGGACTAAACTTTGGAATGCCGGAATGGACAATCAATCGTGTTTTTATCTTTTGTTGGCATGTTGTCCTGTAGGGATTGTCCTATCTTGTGGATGATCCCCTGTTATCTGTACGAACTTCCACCATCAAGGTATTTCCTTTTTAATTCAATCTGTTTTCTACAATCTCTGTGACACGTCAGAGTGTTTGTCTCCTTTCTTGTTATTGGTCCTGTTCTTGGGAGTTTGTGCATGTGGTTCATTTTTGCTAACTGATGCCTTTGTTTGCTCTAAGACTTAGTATCTGTTCCAATGAAAATTGATGGTTACCTTATCTGCAGTTCCCCCCTCCTTCCTTTCCAGTTCTGATAGGTAAAAAGCAAAATGTGTATATTAGGCATCTATGAATGTTTATGTATGCGCCTAGGTGTGTATAGACTTTGGCTCTTCCCTACACTGTCCTCTACTTATTGGTGCAAGAGGCACTGAAGTTTTCCATTCAACTTTAAAGCTCTAGGCTACCCAACTTTGCAGTTCTAGGATACCCTTTATCATCATTTCCCTCCCCCTAACTCTTCCCACTGGCAGCTTCCACCTTGACTCCTTTACTTCTGCCACATATAACTCAGCTGCCAGCCCAGCTTTGAATGGAACTGTAGGTGTGACATACCGTCAGGAATCGGCTTAACCAGCACACCATACCTAAACTTTCCAACTTGATGACCAATGGGTCCTGCTGCCATAAACAGTACACATCACAGCCTTATCCCCAAACACAAAAGACAGTGAGCCTGACTCTCCTTTCTATACAGGTTTATAACAGTGAGGCACCACAGACTTCACCAGACTCACTTCAGGGATACAGCTGTGTAAGTGAAAGGAAAAATCAGGCCCAAACTATTTATGGATATGGAATGTGTAAGCCAGCTGGTCCTGACAGGCTGTTATGCCTCTGCCGTAGCTTCTCTTATTCCCATGTTGTTGTGGGGGAGCAAACACGTTCTCTTGGTTGCAATGAGTAAGGGGATGAAGTCATCTCTTTTCTGGTTGTTGTTTGCATTTTTAAATCTGGGAACTGTCTAGTGCAAGCTGTTTCAGGCACAGGGGCAGAGAGCTGAGGGGCTGACCTGTCCCGCAATAGCAAAAGGTGTTCTTGAAAACGAACCACCTTAGGGTAGCTAATGATGAGAGTGACACTGTTGTTCTTTTCCCTGCCAGAACCATGAGTTCATAGATGAGCAACTGTTTGAGCAGAACTGCATGGATAACTCAATGCAGAATTACCCCTCCACTCGCAGCCCCTCATTGTCGAGTAACAATGGCGGGTCCACCTCCTGTTGTTCCCGACGCAACAAGAAGACGACTCATCTTCCCAACTCCAACGTGCCAGCCACTCGCCTGCGGAGCATGCAGGAGCTAAGCACGATACACATCCAATGCAGCGAACAGCCATCACTTACAACAAGGTACAGGGAGCAGGCCCTGGGTGCTGACTGCTGCATGCAAATCTGCTAAGGGTAATGTCCATCTGAGATGAGTTTAGACCAGTTTCTACCCCCTCGGCCCAGGAGAAATGGGTCCCACGTGGGACTCTCTAACTTCCAGTTCTACTAATATGGTCCCAAGAGAGGTGGCTCCTGGATGCTCTGTGCAACTCCTATGGACTTAGCCCAGAGGAAGCTGACCCGAGTTCTAGCTTAGCTCTTCTCCAGCTAGTCTGGACCCAAGAGAGGCGACTCCCAGCTGAGGCTCCCATTGGTTCAGCCTCAACTGTAACCAGATTGCTCCAGCTCATGCAGTACCATTCTTGCAACCCAGCTCTTATTTGGTTGACCAGCGGGAGGCAGCTCTCAGTTTCTACCAACTTGGCCAGAGCCGTGTGCTCGGTCATGAGCAATGCCAGACGGCATTGGTTCCAGGCAATCTGTATGTGCTGCATAAAGTACAGAACCTTCTTCACACTGCACCCCTATACTGACTTGGCCTGCCAGGGAAACAGACTTCTTTGAGTTAATTGTCCACTGCTGACCGAAGGGTCAGAGCAGCCGAGGTGGGAAGAGAAGAGGATTTTCAAAATGGGTTGAGTTGTGCTAATCTAATGTGCGATTAGTAACATAAGTGGAGAAAGGTCTCTCTTTCGATATTGGATTTTCAAATGGACTCTCCTTTTAAAAATAATTTAGTGCATAAACAAGGCATCATCATCACTGTAGTTGAATGAACTTCTGAAGTCCTCTCCCTGTGCCCAGCCAAACATCTTGTGCGTTAGGGAGCTTTGGAAAAGGGGAGGAAGCAAAGACTTGCATTTGAAATAGTAACTCCAGACCTCCCCCTGATTCCAAAGTGTATGGGAACTATTTTACCCACAGCAGAAATGCAGCTGCCTCTGGGACAAGGAGGATGCACCTATTCTGCACCAGTGACATGATTCAGCAAGGTGTTTAAGTGAAGAATAATGTATCAAATGGAAATGAGAAAGGGAATAGCGTGAGAGTTCATTCCCTATGGCCCTTTCAACATTAGTTCAGTATTTCCCAAAGGGTGGAGGTACCCCCTTGGCGGACAGGAAGGATAAGACTGCAGGAAAGGACAAGCTTCTCAGTTGTTTCCTACAATCTTCCATTAAAAAAAAAGTACACGTCCAGCTATTATGGTTTTAAAGAAAACCCTGAAAAGGTTACTCAAGCGTAATCAACATATGCCTGAGTCTGCAGCAAGCCTGAAACAATAGCTCTAAAGAGTATGAACTGCTCTGTTCATTTCCATGGGTGCTAAAACCAATTCCAATGACGACATTTTAAATGTCAAAACTGTTACCAGATGAGCAGTGACATAGCTATGATGAAGATCTGTACCCTCTACTGCGAGCAGCCACTCCTGATGGGTTGGGCTTTAAGAACACCTGGAGAGGTTGCAGTGGGAAGGAGGGACTGGGGATTCTTTTAATTTTCCTGAAGCGGGGCTCAGTTTTCTAAAGGTTTTAGAAACTCTGCCTTAGCCTCTTCAGCTGTGACTGGGGCTCTGGCTACTCTAGAGAGCTTACAGCAGCAGAGCTGCACCGAGGCAGTGGCGCCACTGGAAGTTCTCTAGTGTAGCTGCTCTCCCGTCAACTTAATTAATCCATTCCCAACGAGCGGCGGCAGCTATATCAGCATGAGAAGCTCTCCCACCGGCAGAGCGCTGTCCACACCAGTGGTTAGGTCGGTGTAACTTATGTTGCTCAGAGGGAAGACTAGTTCACACCCATGAGCGACCTAGGTTATATCGACACAAGTGGTAGCGTAGACAGTCTGGGTGGGGTTAGTGGTTTACCGACACTGGATGGATTATTACAACAATCTGTAACTCACTAACACCACCCCTTTATGTTCCTATAACTGCAGACGTGTTATAACAGGTCGCTCTACCTTGAGAGGTCCCTTACAATATATGCTAACTACTTATGCTAAACAAGCTGTTCCACCTTGTATTTAGCTGTGGCACTGGGAGTACCATTCCCAAGCCTGACGCAGAGCTCTGTGTGGCTGAAAGCTCGTCTCTCTCACCACCAGAAGTTGGTCCAATAAGATACATTACGTGACCCACCTTGTCGCACAGAAGTACCCAGACACTTGAGACATCAGGACAGAGCCTCTTGGTGAGTCAACCTGTAATAACAGCGGTGACTTTCCAACAGGGAGCCCTTTATATTTTGAAAGGACAAGCCCTGTGTTTAAAGCAAGCCTGTTGGGCTGGTAACAGAAGACTCCTGCAGCTATGCAGATGCACAGAAAACAGACCTATCATTTTCCCTCGGTAATTAATTATAGGATGCAACCGATGCAGATCTAATAGGAATGCTCCCAGCTGCCAGATCCTCAAGACTAGTGCAGGGGAAACAAGTAGAAAAGAGAAAGGGATGGAGGCTTTGAAAGAAGAAATAAAACTGCATTGAAGTTTAAGCCTGTGGTCAGGGAGCCCTTATGGACTCATAAGACTTTGGACCTGGTTCTCCTCTCACTTACACCAGGTTTACACCACTATACCCTGTTGGGTCCAGTGGAGTGACAGCTGATTTCCACCAATAATGAGAACAGAATCAGGTGCAATAGCTGCTAAAGGAAGCAAACCAAGAAACAGGATACAGGGCCAGATTCTCTTCTGGCATCAATGGGCCTAGCTCCATTGTAATCAATGGACTTCCACAGATTTATAGCAACTAAGGATCCAGCACCATGACTCTCTGCATTACATATTTTCTTTACTGAGGTCTGAGGGAGCGAAAGGCTTCTAAGCAGTAGGAGAGGGTGAGCTCTGACTTGTGCGATATCCACTTTTGAGCTGCTACCTCGCTTTCATTCATTATAGTCACGGCTGCTGCTGAAAGCAGAGATGACCATCCCCCACTGCTGCGCTCACCCCCACCTCCAGACTGTTTGGGGGCAGGAGGGGGGAACTTCTGTTGTGCAGGCCCTCTCTCGCCCCGTGCCCATGCCTGTGTATATCACAGTCAAAGCATCCCTGGCCGTTGCTGTATTCTCCCACTGAAGCGGATTTGATTGTTCAGCTTTATTTTATTTTTTGGGTTGGGCGACGCTCCAGTGAGTGTTTAATCACAATTCTCAGAGGCCCCCGGTGCCTACGCTGAGATGGGAGAAACGCAAACTCACTGCATGAGTCACTTGAAACACAAGCATTGCACAATGCATTAGAATGGTGCATAGAACACACAAAAAGATGTGCACACCCCAGCAGGTAAGAGACTGGTTAATTCAGCAGCCATAACAGAGCCTGAAGCAAGCTGCCTGAAGCTAAAAAAGGCCATGCTGAGGTATGTTTTCATTACCAAACCCCTTACCTGCTATGAAACTGCTGCAGCCAGCACTGGGCCCTCCATTGGAAGGCGCTTTGGAGTTCCATCTACCCAAGTGGTTAGAGTCACTGAAAAACACCCCCATTTCCTTCAAGGAAAAAAATACTGGGTTGCATTTGAATAACCAGAGGGGCGATTAAGCAGGCTTGGTGTTAACAGGAATATAGGAACTGGCCTACTGGACCCAATCAATAGTAACAGCTGGCCCAGTATCTCATCTCCAACAGTGGCCAGCACCAGAGGAAGGTACAAGAAACCCTGAGAAGTCTGAAAGAAATAACCTGTCCACAGACGTAGTTGCATACCAAACAGGGGGCAGTTAACAAAGGTTGGTGTTAATCAGGGGGCAATTAAGGATGTCCAGTAGTAATCAGGGTCTAGGGGGATTGTTCTGTGATTCCTGCTGTAGCTAGTTTTCAGGGCCCTTCCTTCAGAGGCATACAACACCATGGAGGAGCAGTTGCCTTTATCACTGACTCTTGTTTAAAAAAAAAAAATCCCTTTTGTTTTCTAGTCGTTCCAGTCTCAATATGAAATCAGAGGACGGGCTGAGACCAAACTGCAAAACCTCCCACCTCACGACAGCCATCATCACTATTCCTACCCCACCGGCACTGACACCAGAAGGAGAGAGCAGCCCTCACCCTACTACGAACATTTCCACCACATGCAGCAACATAGTCAAGGTCTCTGCCTTGTAAGGTGGTGTCGTTTGAAGGAAGCAGCTGGAATGCCAGCGTCTCTCCCCCTCCACACCTTCATGTTCCTTTCTTGCTGCAAATTGTGCCTGGATGGACCAACCTGACATTTCGTCATAGAATTAGTAATGGAGACCTAACGAGGCAGCTTTCTTCAAACTTGCATTCATGCTATGGACTGAGAACAGATGAGGAGCAGGAGGACAAGGTGGGTTGGAGAAAGGGTCTGTGTGCGCCCGCGCCGAGCCTTGTTCCAGGATATGAAGCAGAAAATTGTTTCTAGAGGCTAGAGAAAAAGAACCGTCATGGCAACAAGAAAGTCAATAAAGAAACAAATATAACACTGTGTATCTCGGCACCTTTTTAAAGGTTTTTAATGGATAATATTTATTCATGCGGAAATGACTGAAAAAGGTGAAAAAAAACAATGTATTTTGTGATTTTTTTTTCCTTCATGGAGCAGAATCTTTAATCAACCAAAATTACACATCTTTTTTTTCTTTTATAGAGAAAGATTTAGACAAAGACGACAGCTGTCACAGAAATCTATTTCCATTCCTCTCTCTGTGTGTGTGTGTGTGTGTGTGTGTGTGTGTGTGTGTGTGTGTGTATATATATATAT